ATTTAAACCTATATACTCCTCCAGTCAAATACAAAATGTTAGTTGACACAGTTACTTTTTGCTGATGATACTGTACTTTTGGGAGATTCTAAAGAAAAGTTGCAAAGGTTAGTGGACAAGTTTGGGAGGGTGTGTAAAGGTAGAAAGTTGAAAGTGAATGTAGATAAGTGTAAGGTGATGAGGGTATCAAACGATTTAGATAAAGAAAAATTGGATGTCACATTGAAGGGAGGGAGTATGAAAGAAGTGAATGTTTTCAGATATTTGGGCGTTGACTTGTTAGCGGATGGGTTTATGAAGGATGAGGTTAGCCATAGAATTGATGAAAGAAAAAACGTGAGTGGTGCATTGAGGTATCTGTGGAGACAAAAAAACGTCATCCATGGAGACAAAGAAGGAAATATACGAATCTTTCCTCCGTAAGCCATGCGTGTCGTATGAGGCGACTAAAATGCCGGGAGCAATGGGCTAGTAACCCCTTCTCCTGTAAACATTTACTAAAAAAGAGAAGAAAAATAACTTTATAAAACTGGGATGCTTAAATGTGCGTGGATGTAGTGCGGATGACAAGAAACAGATGATTGCTGATGTTATGAATGAAAAGAAGTTGGATGTCCTGGCCCTAAGCGAAACAAAGCTGAAGGGGGTAGGGGAGTTTCGGTGGGGGGAAATAAATGGGATTAAATCTGGAGTATCTGAGAGAGTTAGAGCAAAGGAAGGGGTAGCAGTAATGTTAAATGATCAGTTATGGAAGGAGAAAAGAGAATATGAATGTGTAAATTCAAGAATTATGTGGATTAAAGTAAAGGTTGGATGCGAGAAGTGGGTCATAATAAGCGTGTATGCACCTGGAGAAGAGAGGAATGCAGAGGAGAGAGAGAGATTTTGTGAGATATTAAGTGAATGTATAGGAGCCTTTGAACCAAGTGAGAGAGTAATTGTGGTAGGGGACCTGAATGTTAAAGTAGGAGAAACTTTTAGAGAGGGTGTGGTAGGTAAGTTTGGGGTACCAGGTGTAAATGATAATGGGAGCCCTTTGATTGAACTTTGTATAGAAAGGGGTTTAGTTCTAGGTAATACATATTTTAAGAAAAAGAGGATAAATAAGTATACAAGATATGATGTAGGGCGAAATGACAGTAGTTTGTTGGATTATGTATTGGTAGATAAAAGACTGTTGAGTAGACTTCAGGATGTACATGTTTATGGAGGGGCCACAGATATATCAGATCACTTTCTAGTTGTAGCTACACTGAGAGTAAAAGGTAGATGGGATACAAGGAGAATAGAAGCATCAGGGAAGAGAGAGGTGAAGGTTTTAAAAACTAAAAGAGGAGGCAGTTAGGGTAAGATATAAACAGCAATTGGAGGATAGATGGGCTAATGAGAGCATAGGCAATGGGGTCGAAGAGGTATGGGGTAGGTTTAAAAATGTAGTGTTAGAGTGTTCAGCAGAAGTTTGTGGTTACAGGAAAGTGGGTGTGGGGGGAAGAGGAGCGATTGGTGGAATGATGATGTAAAGAGAGTAGTAAGGGAGAAAAAGTTAGCATATGAGAAGTTTTTACAAAGTAGAAGTGATGCAAGGAGGGAAGAGTATATGGAGAAAAAGAGAGAGGTTAAGAGAGTGGTGAAGCAATGTAAAAAGAGAGGCAAATGAGAGAGTGGGTGAGATGTTATCAACAAATTTTGTTGAAAATAAGAAAAAGTTTTGGAGTGAGATTAACAAGTTAAGAAAGCCTAGAGAACAAATGGATTTGTCAGTTAAAAAAGGAGAGAGAGTTATTAAATGGAGAGTTAGAGGTATTGGGAAGATGGAGGGAATATTTTGAGGAATTGTTAAATGTTGATGAAGATAGGGAAGCTGTGATTTCGTGTATTGGACAAGGAGGAATAACATCTTGTAGGAGTGAGGAAGAGCCAGTTGTGAGTGTGGGGGAAGTTCGTGAGGCAGTAGGTAAAATGAAAGGGGGTAAGGCAGCCGGGATTGATGGATAAAGATAGAAATGTTAAAAGCAGGTGGGGATATAGTTTTGGAGTGGTTGGTGCAATTATTTAATAAATGTATGGAAGAGGGTAAGGTACCTAGGGATTGGCAGAGAGCATGCATAGTTCCTTTGTATAAAGGCAAAGGGGATAAAAGAGAGTGCAAAAATTATAGGGGGATAAGTCTGTTGAGTATACCTGGCAAAGTGTATGGTAGAGTTATTATTGAAAGAATTAAGAGTAAGACGGAGAATAGGATAGCAGATGAACAAGGAGGCTTTAGGAAAGGTAAGGGGTGTGTGGACCAGGTGTTTATAGTGAAACATATAAGTGAACAGTATTTAGATAAGGCTAAAGAGGTCTTTGTGGCATTTATGGATTTGGAAAAGGCGTATGACAGGGTGGATAGGGGGCAATGTGGCAGATGTTGCAGGTGTATGGTGTAGGAGGTAGGTTACTGAAAGCAATGAAGAGTTTTTATGAGGATAGTGAGGCTCAAGTTAGAGTATGTAGGAAAGAGGGAAATTATTTCCCAGTAAAAGTAGGCCTTAGACAAGGATGTGTGATGTCACCGTGGTTGTTTAATATATTTATAGATGGGGTTGTAAGAGAAGTAAATGCGAGGGTCTTGGCAAGAGGCGTGGAGTTAAAAGATAAAGAATCACACATAAAGTGGGAGTTGTCACAGTTGCTCTTTGCTGATGACACTGTGCTCTTGGGAGATTCTGAAGAGAAGTTGCAGAGATTGGTGGATGAATTTGGTAGGGTGTGCAAAAGAAGAAAATTGAAAGTGAATACAGGAAAGAGTAAGGTTATGAGGATAACAAAAAGATTAGGTGATGAAAGATTGGATATCAGATTGGAGGGAGAGAGTATGGAGGAGGTGAATGTATTCAGATATTTGGGAGTGGACGTGTCAGCGGATGGGTCTATGAAAGATGAGGTGAATCATAGAATTGATGAGGGGAAAAGGGTGAGTGGTGCACTTAGGAGTCTCTGGAGACAAAGAACTTTGTCCTTGGAGGCAAAGAGGGGAATGTATGAGAGTATAGTTTTACCAACGCTCTTATATGGGTGTGAAGCATGGGTGATGAATGTTGCAGCGAGGAGAAGGCTGGAGGCAGTGGAGATGTCATGTCTGAGAGCAATGTGTGGTGTGAATATAATGCAGAGAATTCGTAGTTTGGAAGTTAGGAGGAGGTGCGGGATTACCAAAACTGTTGTCCAGAGGGCTGAGGAAGGGTTGTTGAGGTGGTTCGGACATGTGGAGAGAATGGAGCGAAACAGAATAACTCAAGAGTGTATCAGTCTGTAGTGGAAGGAAGGCGGGGTAGGGGTCGGCCTAGGAAAGGTTGGAGGGAGGGGGTAAAGGAGGTTTTGTGTGCGAGGGCTTGGACTTCCAGCAGGCATGCGTGAGCGTGTTTGATAGGAGTGAATGGAGATAAATGGTTTTTAATACTTGACGTGCTGTTGGAGTGTGAGCAAAGTAACATTTATGAAGGGGTTCAGGGAAACCGGCAGGCCGGACTTGAGTCCTGGAGATGGGAAGTACAGTGCCTGCACTCTGAAGGAGGGGTGTTAATGTTGCAGTTTAAAAACTGTAGTGTAAAGCACCCTTCTGGCAAGACAGTGATGGAGTGAATGATGGTGAAAGTTTTTCTTTTTCGGACCACCCTGCCTTGGTGGGAATCGGCCAGTGTGATAATAAAAAAAAATAAAAAAATAATGATACCAACACTCTTATATGGATGTGAAGCATGGGTTGTAAATTCTGCAGCAAGGGGGTGGCTGGAGGCAGGGGAGATGTGTCTAAGGGCAATATGTAGTGTAAATATTATGCAGAGAATTTGTAGTGTGGAAATTAGGAGGAAGTGTGGAATTACTGAAAGTATTAGAAGGCTGAAGAATGGTTGTTGAGATGGTTTGGTCATTTAGAGAGAGTGGAACAAAGTAGAATGACTTGGAGAGTGTATAAATCTGTAGGGGAAGGAAGGCAGGGTAGGAGTTGTCCTTAAAAAGGTTGGAGGGAGGGGGAGTAAAAGAGGTTTTGTGGGCAATGGGCTTGGATTTCCAGCAAGCGCGCATAAGTGTGTTAGGAGCGAATGAAGACGAATAGTTTTTGGGACCTGACAAGCTGTTGGAGTGTAAGCAGGATAATATTTTGTGAGAAGATTCAGGAAAACTGGTTAACTGGACTTGAGTCCTGGAAATGGAAAGTACAATGCCTGCACTTTAAAGGTGTTTAGGATATTGGCAATTTGGAGGGACATCTAAACTGTTGTATCTGAGAGCCTCTGCCAAGACAGTGATTATTTATGAGTTATGGTGAAAGTGTTGAATGATGAAAGTGTTTTTTTTTCTTTTGGGTTTTTCTTTCATTTTGGGTCACTCTGCCTTTGTGGGAAACGGCCGACGTGTTAAGAAAAAAATTACTCCTCCAAACTGAAATTCTCCCAACCCCTTTTAACTTTGTTTTGCTTAGAGTTAGGACTTCGAATGGCTTTTCATTCATAACTTTCAGAAATCAATTTATTCTTTTAATCTGTAATACACTCACTCACATTCATACAACTTCAAAATTTTCTTCATTTTCATTTTCATTAGTAAACTTTTTGTCCATTTGTAGTATGTTTATATAATTGTGTACGAATTTATCATGAAATGTGGACCCTTTTTGTATTAATCATTATCTTTTTGCTTGGCACAAAACTATCAGTAGGATTTTATTCAAAATATGTTCGTTGTATTTCCCACTTCCTAATCTTTCTCTTTTTCTAAACATTCATTCCTATGAAAATAAGTTTAAGTGCAATTAGAATTTTATATGAATATATGACCAGAATGATATAAAGCGATGTAAAAAATTAGACCCTAAAAAATATTGTAACTATCCAATATTTTTTTAAATCTGGTGTATCCCCACATCTCCAACAGTGCTGGATGATCAGTGATGTACGGTGTGCATTCCCACTTGAATATGATTTCATTTATGGATATTGGTGAATTTTCAGGTTATATAATGCTGGAGGAGTCTGCACTGTTTCTTCAAAGAATATAGTTGCTTTTACACGCATCACAACGAGACAAGATGCTTACAGACATCGCATACCAGTCTGTACTGTGTGTGTAATGGATCTTAATTGTCCATATGAGCCACATGTGTAAGTGTAATATTAGCATTGGTTTTGCAACATTGCCTAAAATTCATACAGTGCTTTTTAAAATGCTCTTTTTCTCTATAAAGTTTTGTATTTTATAATCATAAGACTAATGTAATAATAATAATAATAATATTATTATTGTATCAAATATTTATGCATTTATACTGTATTTTTTTTAACACACCGGCCATCTCTCACCAAGGCAGGGTGACCTGAGGAAGAAGAAATGAAAGTTTTTCTTCTGTTTGCATTTAGTAATTTATGCAGGAAAAGAGGTTACTAGCCCCTTGCTCCTGACAGTCCCTTCTTACAACACATGGCTTATAGAGGAAGGATTCTTCTCGACTACCCACAAACTGGCCGTATCCCACCAAGGCAGTGTGGCCCAAAAGGAAAAACAAAAGTTTCTCCTTTTAAATTTACTAATATATACAGGAGAAGGGGTTACTAGCCCCTTGCTCCTAGCATTTTAATCACCTCTTATGATACGCATGGCTTACGGAGGAAGAATTCTCTTCCACTTCCCCATGGGAAGCCTCTCCTCACTTAACAATGGAGTTCTGTTCCTAAGACCACGTCGGTAAACGAATTTGTCGCTAAGCAAGGAGCATTCTGTAATGGTAGTGGGTTTGTCAGCCATCTTTGGTATTGTTTTATTCTCACCTTTGCACCATTTACAGTGGACCCCCGAGTTTCGTGATTAATCCGTTCCAGACAGTCTGCCGACTGGCAAAATTCACGATTAGTGAATCTATTTTCCCCATAAGAAATAATGGAAACCCAATTAATCTGTTTCAAACAGCCAAAAGTATTAACAAAAAATATTTTTTTTAAAAATAAAATATAGATTTACATACGGAAAACAATGACAAATAAATATGAAGCACTAATAAAATGGATAAATGAACATTTAACATCACACTTAACCTTTATTGATTCTTGTTGGTGAAAGAGGTAGGTAGGAGGCAAGAGGAAGGTGAGTTTATTATGCTTCAATATGACGCTAATATCATCTCTACGGCTTATTTATCTATCACAATTCATCTAATATGACGTTATAAGCAATATTAATAACATAGAAACATGATATATACTCTAGAATGAATAAAATATGTCATAATGTATGAGAGGAGTAAATGGTGTAAGTGTTGTTGTTGGGTTTAACCCTTTCAGGGTTTCCGATGTACTAGTATGGCTTACGCACCAGGGTTATTGACGTATTAGTACGCCTAAATTCTAGCGCCTTCAAGTTTAGCGAGAGAAAGCTGGTATGCCTACATATGAAAGAATGGGTCTATGTGGTCAGTGTGCACAGTATAAAAAAAATCCTGCAGCACACAGTGCATAATGAGAAAAAAACTTTGACCATGTTTTTGGTTTAAAATAGCAACTTTGCACTGTATTTTCGTATGGTATTTATGGTTGTATTCTAGTTTTCCTGGTCTCATTTTATAGAATGGATGATATATTACAGAAATTGAGATGATTTTGACTGGTTTCACAATGAAAAGTACCTTGAAATTGAGCTCAAAGTAGCAGAAATGTTCGATTTTTGCCAAAGTTCAAAAGTAAACAAATCATGCCACACGTCCAATACACATCAACTGGTGGGTCTAATATTCTTTCACAAGTGCGCTGATATTATTTATACTATTTCTACACTAATGCAGTAGTCTTTATAACAGTAAATCTTCTGTTTTTTGTGAGAATAAAAATTCAAAGTGGAAAGCAAAAGAAATGTAAGAGGGGCCTGGAGACGTGACTAATGAACAGAGGAAATGTTATTTTAGTGCCAGGAATGTCTGTCTTGTCTATTCTGGATCCTATTTGGAAATTCGCATCTTTTGAAATTTGTGTGAAACTGGCAAAATTGCTAAATTCTGACAGCTTTGTTGGATAGTTGAAATCGGTAAATGGGTGGTTTCTTGTACTCTTTCGATAGAAAAATTGTAGTTCTAGTGAAATAGTTATGATTTTTGTCGACTGGTACACTGGAATTGGCCGAAAATAGGACTCAAAGTGGGCGAAATTGCCAATGCGTAAACATCGTTGAGACCGCTAGCTTTGCGAGAGCATAATTCCGTAAGTTTTCCATCAAATTTCAAACTTTTGATGTCATTATGATAAGGAAATGATTCTCTATCTTTTCATAAGAAAAAATAATTTGTTTTTTTCCGAAAAATTTTCAACCCTTAGCCCTTTGACTGTTTCCGACGTATAAATACGTCTTACGAGCCAATGTTTCTGACGTATTTATACGCATAAATTCTAGCAGCTTCAAATCAAGCAGGAGAAAGCTGCTAGGCCCACATGTGAGAGAATGGGTCTCCATGGTCAGTGTGCACCATATAAAAAAAATCGGGGAGCCAGTGGTGCATTGTGGGAATGCCATTTCAGTTGTCATTTTTCAGCATGTCTAATGGTAAGAAATATGTGATTCCCCAGCAAATCTGGGACTCTTCTCTTCCCAAGTGATGCTCTAACACAGATGGAAGTGTCAGTGAAGATCAATTTCATGATTTGGAGGAGTTTGAGACCAAAAGCAATGAGGAGGAGGAGGGGGGAGGAGGGGAGGAAGAGGAGGAGGAGGAGGAGGAGGAGGGAAGGAAGAGGAGAGGAGGAGGAGGAGGAGGGAGGAGGAGGAGGAGAAGAGGAGGAGGAGGAGGAGGAAGAGAAGATGCAATAATATTGTTCCCTTGAAGCAAGAAAAAAAAAAAGTCCACCCCATGACAGTGACAAGATAAGGGGAGATAACATCTGATAAGAGCTGACTTTGATGAGCGTAAAGGAGGGTAATATTACATGACCATCGCCTCCCTTTTGTTTTTGCTGGTACACAAACATTTCTGTCTGTCTATTTGTCTGTCTGTCAAGCTCCCTGTCTGTCCATCTAGCTCTCTGTCTCAGAGAGAGCCACAAGACTGTGTCATCACGTTTACTCACATCTTCAAGCAGAGTATAGCACTTTGTCTGGATTTCTTGGGTTATCCTAGGTAATTTACACTATGTATACTTGTATTTATGTGTACCTGTGAGACAGAGATAGGCAGACAGAAAGAGAGACAGATTGAAAGATATAGAATGAGGGAGAAAGATAATTAGATAGAATGGAGGAGGGGAAGCAGCATCCGACCCCATTGTTTTGACAGGGGTAGGGGTAGTGACTAATGAGACAATATGTCACTTTGACAGCTGCCGACTTCTGACTCAAAACAATTATAAGCCACACACTCGCACACAAGGAGAGGAGGAGAAGGAGGAGAAGGAGGAGGAGGAGGAGGAGAAGGAGGACAAGGAGGAGAAGAGAGGAGAAGGAGGAGGAGAAGAAGGAGGAGAAGAAGGAGGAGAAGAAGGAGGAGAAGGAGGAGAAGAAGGAGGAGAAGAAGGAGGAGAAGAAGGAGGAGAAGAAGGAGGAGAAGGAGGAGAAGAAGGAGAAGAAGAAGGAGAAGAAGAAGGAGAAGAAGAAGGAGAAGAGAAGGAGAAGAAGAAGGAGAAGAAGAAGGAGAAGAAGAAGGAGAAGAAGAAGGAGAAGAAGGAGGAGAAGAAGGAGGAGAAGAAGGAGGAGAAGAAGGAGAAGAAGGAGGAGAAGAAGGAGAAGAAGAAGGAGAAGAAGAAGGAGAAGAAGAAGGAGAAGAAGGAGAAGAAGAAGGAGAAGAAGAAGGAGAAGAAGAAGGAGAAGAAGAAGGAGAAGAAAGAAGGAGAAGAAGAAGGAGAAGAAGAAGGAGAAGGAGGAGGAGAAGAAGAAGGAGAAGAAGAAGGAGAAGAAGAAGAAGGAGAAGAAGAAGGAGAAGAAGAAGGAGAGAAGAAGGAGAAGAAGAAGGAGAAGAAGGAGAAGAAGAAGGAGAAGAAGAAGGAGAAGAAGAAGGAGAAGAAGAAGAAGAAGAAGAAGAAGAAGAAGAAGAAGAAGAATTGTTTGTTTGTTTGTTTGTTTTTGTAAACAAGTTTTGTAAACAATATATTGATAATTATGTTTGTGTGCTTATTGTGTTGTATACAACGAGTGTATATATATACATTGCACCTTACTTTGGTCTCATAGGCCACATAAGTTATGTGAAAAAATAAAATAGTGAAAAAAACAACAAACCTTCAAATACAAGTAAACTAAAGTTTACCGGGTGAGCGGCAGTCGCCGCTGTTGCCATACGCGGCTCATTTTCTGCAAACTTCACGGCTCTATATCTCGGTAAGTACCGATGGCAAAATTTTTTTTTTTGGACTAAAACACTCAGAAAAATAATCTTAACATTTTCATAAGAAAAAATAATTTTTTTTTTTTTTGAATATTTGGCGACATAGAATGACAGTTTCAGAGAGGGGCCTGAAACAGTCAAAGGGTTAGAATGAGTTTTGGAGAGGGCCTCTCGACCCTGAAAGGGTTAAGGGCCGCCACTGAGAGAAGCCATGTTTGTGGCAGTGGAGGATTTTGCCAGCACTACCATCACACTTAAACAATGTATGCAATTTATAAATACGAAATATTTACATTTTAGTTTATAAATAAGTAATATTTACATTTTAATTTATAAATAAGTAAGTTTACATATTCAGGTATACACAAATACAGTTACATACATAGATTATCACACATAGCAGCATATGTGTAAAGTACCCAGGATAACCCAAAAAATTCAAAAGTGACATATTTCCATTGGTGTCCTTTAATATTTACACATAGATTTACTTATATACTTACACTTTTATATTTACACTTACCTTGGAGGAGATGTTAGTTTAATTAGTTCGTTTGATGAAGGAGATGTTGGCAGAAGTTTAGGATGGTGGATGATAGCAGGGCGGTGTATGTTCAGCGGTCCTATACACATCCAGCAACATCGGAGAGTTACTCTCATGTTGTTTTTCTATCGCTTACTCGCTTAACTTACTTGCTACACTGTTAATTCTACACTTTATCGCTGGCTGGAGCTATAGCCTTTATTGATACCTGCTGCTTTAATATCATACATATTGTAGAATCACTGAATCACTGCAGAAGGCACATTCTCCCCTCTCTCTTCCTCCTCTACTTTAGTACTTTGCTATGAGTTTTTTCTTGATTTCTATCATGTTTCTCACCTTCTTTACCAAAGGGCTGGCACTTGGAACTTTCTTTGGGCCCATGGTGGCTTATTTAGCAGTTGCAAGCATAAAAAATAATGAATTATTATGAAATGTGTTGTATGAACCCGTGGGGTGATGGTCACATGCTGGTAAACAATGGCATGGCACATTGAGTGTGAATAGTGTGGGAGACTGGCTTTGTGTGCGCGCTGACGGGCAAGCGCATACCAGAAGGTCGCCGAATCATGAGTCCAATCATGAGCCACGAAGCTAAATTTTGCCAAAAAAAAACTTGCCGAAAGTCGGATTTTACGAAAGTCGCGGCCGCCGAATGGCGGGGGTCCACTGTATAACATTTTTAGTATATTTTGAGGTTTATACAGTAGTGTACTGTATATTGTAATAACAAAATAGAGAAAATCAGCTCTAATATACATTATTTAGGTATCCATACTGATGAGAGAGCACATTGTAAGTCTGAATCGTCAGTAAGCGAGTACGCTGCTAAGTGAGGAGAAGCTGTTTATACATTAATTTGAAAGAATGTAGTATGCACAACATTTCAATCAAATTTGGACTAAGACTACTTAACACTGAAGGAGTACATAATTGTGGATTTTTTATGCTAGTTGGATTAGTGCAAGGTATTCACAAGAAGTTAAAATATTAGAATGCGAACTACAAGATTATTCATAAAAAAAAATAAAAAATCGTCATTGACATTTGATGTTATACTGTGATGCCTTAAAAGTTGAATTTTAATTTTATAATTATTTGTGATACATTTCTTCTTAATTGTATTTTATTTTGTCAATTTTATTATGAAATCTATTACTTTCACCATTTTTTTTAACAGGATTCTGGAGTCAACAAACACTGTAATTTCCCTGGTGTTCAACAGTGAAGGTTCTCAACTCCTTGTGGTGCTAAGCTTAGGAACAGTGCAGCTTTTCACCAAAGGCTCAGGTCTACATGAGTGGCCCTCTACACATACATGTGATTGGGATGGTGAAGATATTCTCCACATAAACTTCTTCCATGGAGGAATTAGGGTTTGTATCATTTCATTTTGTGTGCATTCATCAATGTTAAACTTAGATCTACTAATATGACAGTTTTTGTAAAAAGCTACTCCATTTTCAAGTGAAGATTTTGCTTGGATTATTAACCAGGAGGGTAATCAACCCAAGATAACTGGATAAAGTAATTGGAGTCCTTAATCATCCCCCCTAGGATGTGACTCACACCAGTCTGCTAATACTCAAGATACTTACTGCTAGGTGAACAGGAGCAGCAGGTGTAAGGAAACATGCCAAATGTTTCTGCTCATGCCAAGTACATGTACTTCTCACTTAACGACTGAGTTCTATTCCTAAGAGTAGGTCAGTAAGCGAATTAGTCGTTAAGCAAAGAGCATTCTGTACTGGTAGTGGGTTTGTGTCAACCATCTTTACATATTGTTTTAATGTCACCTGTACACCATTTATAACATTTTTAGTATAGTTTTAAATGTTTATACAGTAGTGTACTGTATACTATAATAAACAGGATAGAGGAAATCAGCTCTAATATACATTACTTAGGTTTGCAAACTGGTTGGAGTAAAACCCAATATAAAAAAGTATAGGAGAACTTCATGAATGACAAGCAAACTACAGAATAATGCTGCTTTTGAATGTAATATTGGGAAAACAATCTCTTGAAATAAGTGGCCCTGCATGAAAAAACCTTCCCTTATGTTTTTTAATTTTTCTTACTATTTTTCTAATCTGTAGTTCACTCAGCTCTACACATTTTGACCCTTTCAGTTATTATTATAAGTTTTATAATAAGAATTATGGTTAGTTCTCCATGGGGAAGTGGAACAGAATTCTTCCTCCGTAAGCCATGCGTGTTGTAAGAGGCAATAAAATGCCAGGACAGGGCTAGTAACCCTTCTCCCGTATAAATTACTAAATTTAAAAAGAGAAACTTTCGTTTTTCTTTTTGGGCCACCCTGCCTTGGTGGGATACGGCCGGTTTGTTGAAAAAAAAAAAAAAAAAAAAAAAAAAAAAATTATGGTTAGTAAGGTTATGAGGATAACAAAAAGATTAGGTGATGAAAGATTGGATATCAGATTGGAGGGAGAGGTATGGAGGAGGTGAATGTATTCAGAATTTGGGGTGGCGTGTCAGCGGATGGGTCTGTGAAAGGATGAGGTGAATCATGAATTGATGCGGGGAAAAGGTGAGCAGTGCAATTAGGAGTCGGTGGAGACAAAGAACTTTGTCCTTGTAGGCAAAGAGGGGAATGTATGAGAGTATAGTTTTACCAATGCTCTTATAAGGGATGTGAAGCATGGTGATGGGTGTTGCTGCGAGGAAAGGCTGGAGGCGTGGAGATGTATGTCGTGAGGGCATGTGGTGTGAATATATGCAGAGAATTCGTAGGTTTGGAAGTTAGGGGAGGCGGATTGCCAAACTGTTGTCCAGAGGCTGAGGAAGGGTTGTTGAGGTGGTTCAAACATGTAGAGAGAATGGAGCGGAACAGAATGACTTCAAGAGTGTATCAGTCTGTAGTGGAAGGAAGGTGGGGTAGGGGTCGGCCTAGGAAAGGTTGGAGGGAGGGGGTAAAGGAGGTTTTGTGTGCGAGGGGCTTGGACTTCCAGCGGGCATGCGTGAGCATGTTTGATAGGAGTGAATGGAGACAAATGGTTTTTAATACTTGACGTGCTGTTGGAGTGTGAGCAAAGTAACATTTATGAAGGGATTTCAGGGAAACCGGCAGGCCGGACTTGAGTCCTGGAGATGGGAAGTACAGTGCCTGCACTCTGAAGGAGGGGTGTTAATGTTGCAGTTTAAAAAACTGTAGTGTAAAGCACCCTTCTGGCAAGACAGTGATGGAGTGAATGATGATGAAAGTTTTTCTTTTTCGAGCCACCCTGCCTTGGTGGGAATCAGCTGGTGTGCTAATATAAAATAATATAATAATAATAAGAATTATACTGTATTTGATTACATAATTATTTTTCTCTTATAGGCTAGTCTTCAATCCAGCGATGTGAAAGTGCATTCCCCTTACACTGAAAAAATTGTTGCACACTTACATAAACCTACACTTGTAGACCATGGCCAGTGTGCACAAAATGGCTTCTTTGCTGTCTCTGCTTCAGGTAACTACCTAAACCTATAAGTTTCGGCCTTTGAAAATGAATACTGTATTCACAGTCACATTACTTTTGAAGCATTATTTGGAAGGTTAGTTGTGAGAGAGGAGATGGACAGTCAGTCTGTTGCAGAAGGACAAGATATCCAAGAGAAAGACAGAGGTCCCATAGCCAAGATCATTTGACCAACAAAGTTGATTACTATGACCAAACTGTAGAGGTGTAGGTTCCACTTCGACTCTTTAATGTTGTATGATCATCATAACATATGTGGTGGATAATGCAATACTGTTTTACCTGACACTCCATGAACAATACAGTGGTATCTCAGGATACGAACTTAATTCATTCCAGAAGGCTGTTTGAGTGCCGATACCGAACGAATTTGTTCCCATAAGGAATAATGTAAATTAGATTAATCCGTTTCAGACCCTCAAAAATATACTTACAAAAGCACTTACATAAATACACTTAATTGTTCGAGTTTTGAGCTGTTCGTATCCGGAGGTACCACTGTATATTATGTTATCTTCGTGTCTAAGTAAATTATTACTGACATTTAACTTTAATTTCATTTGTAAAATAAAAATACTGAATTACAGTGTTACAATTTATCTAAAAAAAAATTATAATCTTCAGTATGCAATTTTTTGGCAGGTCTATTGCTTGTATGTGTTTTAACACATGAGGGATGTGTCTTGGTGGAGAAAAAGGTTGTCTTGGGTCAAACACGGGATAATTTCACTGTTGCTACTGCTGCACTAGCACCAAGTAAGTATTGGTTATAGTGTTTTCTTACAGTATTATAACTAGAAGTGTTCTTAATGAAAGTGGATTTATAGGTCAGGTTAAAGCAAATAACTGAAAGGATGACCTGTTGGACATAGTCTCACCCTTGACTAATGGTTCTCAAGTGCACTCTTTGTGGTTTATGACTGGCTATCTAAAGATCATCTAGATAAAAGTACATCTCTGATTCAATGTCTTTTCATTTAAAAATGTTTTGTATTGGATATCCCATTGCCAGACCATAGGCTTAGCAATAGGATATACATACATCATAAGTAAGGGGGAAAAAGTTAGCATATGAGAGGTTTTTGCAAAGTAGATTGATACAAGGAGGGAAGAGTATATGGAGAGAAAAAGAGAGGTTAAGAGAGTGGTGAAGCAATGTAAAAAGAGAGCAAATGAGAGAGTGGGTGAGATGTTATCAACAAATTTTGTTGAAAATAAGAAAAAGTTTTGGAGTGAGATTAATAAGTTGAGGAAGCCTAAGGAACAAATGGATTTGACAGTTAAAAATAGGAGAGGAGATTTATTAAATGAAGAGTTAGAGGTATCGGGAAGATGGAGGGAATATTTTGAGGAATTGTTAAATGTTGATGAAGATAGGGAAGCTGTGATTTCGTGTATAGGGCAAGGAGGAATAGCACCTTGTAGGGGTGAGGAAGAGCCAGTTGTGAGTGTGGGGGAAGTTTGTGAGGCAGTGAGTAAAATGAAAGGGGATAAGGCAGCTGGGATTGATGGGATAAAGATAGAAATGTTAGCCCTTTCAGGGTCAACAGGCCCTCTCCCAGACTTGTTCTCAGATTCGACAAATTTTCAAAATAAAAAAAAAATTATTTTTTTCTTATGAAAAGATAGAGATTCTTTTCCTTATCATAATGACACCAGAAGTATGAAATTTGATGGAAAACTTACGGAATTATGCTCTCGTGAAGTTAGTGGTCTCGACGATGTTTACGCATCAGCGATTTTGCCCACTTTGAGCCCTATTTTCGGCCAATTCCAGTGTACTAGTCATCAAAACTCATAACTATTTCACTAGAACTCTATTTTTTCTATTGAATGAGTACAAGAAACCACCCATTTACCGATTTCAACTATCCAATAAAGTGGTCAGAATTTAGCAATTTTGCCAATTTCACACAAATTTCAAAAGATGCCAATTTCCAAATAGGGTCCAGAATAAACAAGAAAGACATTTCTGGCACTAAAATAACATTTCCTTTGTTCATTAGTCTTGTCCCCACGTCTCTCTTACATTCTTTTGCTTTCCACTTTGAATTTATATTCTCACAAAATATAGAAGATTTAGTGTTATGCAGACTACTGCATTAGCATAGAAATGGTATAAATAATATCAGCGCACTTGTGAAAGAATATTAGACTCACCAGTTGACGTGTATTGGACGCATAGCATGATATGTTTACTTTTGAACTTTGGTAAAAATCGAAGTGGTAAAAATCGAAGATTTCTGCTACTTTGAGCTCAATTTCAAGGTACTTTTCATTGTAAAACCAATCAAAATCATCACAATTTCTGTAATATGTCTTCCATTCTATAAAATGAGGCCAGAAAAACTAGAATACCATCATAAATACAATACGAAAATGCAGTGCAAAGTTTCTGTTTTAAACCAAAAACACTGTCAAAGTTTTTTTTTCTCATTACGCACTGTGTGCTGCAGGATTTTTTTTATACAGCACACACTGACCACATAGACCCATTCTTTCATATGTAGGCCTACCAGCTTTCTCTCACTAGATTTGAGGGCGCTTGAATTTAGGTGTACTAGTACGTCAATAACCCTGGTGCGTAAGCCATACTAGTACGTCGGAAACCCTGAAAGGGTTAAAAGCAGGAGGGGATATAGTTTTGAAGTAGTTGGTGCTGTTATTTAATAAATGTATTGAAGAGGGTAAGGTACCTAGGGATTGGCAGAGAGCATGCATAGCTCCTTTGTATAAAGGCAAAGGGGTAAAAGAGAGTGCAAAAATTTTAGGGGAATAAGTCTGTTGAGTATACCTGGTAAAGTGTATGGAAGAGTTATTATTGAAAGAATTAATAGTAAGGCAGAGAGTAGGATAGCAGATGAAAAATGAGGCTTTAATAAAGGTAGGGGGTGTGTAGACCAAGTGTTTACAGTGAAACATATTGGTGAACAGTATTTAGATAAGGGTAAAGAGGTTTTTGTGGCATTTATGGATTTAGAAAAGGCATATGACAGCATGGATAGGGGGGCAATGTGGCAGATGTTACAGGTGTATGGTATAGGATGTAGGTTACAGAAAGCAGTGAAGAGTTTTTATGAGGATAGTGAGGCTCAGGTTAGAGTAGGAGAGAGGGAGATTTTTCCCAGTAAAAGTAGGCCTTAGACAAGGATGTGTGATGTCACCGTGGTTGTTCAATATATTTATAGATGGTGTTGTAAGAGAAGTGAATGCTAGGGTCTTGGCAAGAGGTGTGGAGTTAAAAGATAAAGAATCAAACACAAAGTGGGAGTTGTCAAAGTTGCTCTTTCGTGATGACACGGTGCTTTTGGGAGATTCTGGAGAGAAGTTGTAGAGGTTGGTGGATGAATTCGGTAGGGTATGTAAAAGAAGAAAATTAAAAGTGAATATAAGAAAGAGTAAGGTCATGAGGATAACAAAAAGATTAGGTGACAAAAGACTGGATATCAGATTGGAGGGAGAGAGTATGGAGGAGGTGAATGTATTCAGATATTTAGGAGTGGACGTGTCAGCAGATGGGTCTATGAAGGATAAGGTGAATCACAGAATTGATGAGGGGAAAAGGGTGAGTGTGTGGAGACAAAGAACTTTGTCCGTGGAAGCAAAAAGGGGAATGTATGAGAGTATAGTTGTACCAACACACTTGTATGGGTGTGAAGCATGGGTGATGAATGTTGCAATGAGGAGAAGGCTGGAGGCAGTGGAGATGTCATGTCTGAGGGCAATGTATGGTGTGAATATAATGCAGAGAATTCGTAGTTCGGAAATTAGGAGAAGGTGTGGGATTACCAAAACTATTACCCAGAGGGCTGAGGAGAGGTTGTTGAGGTGGTTCAGACATGTAGAGAGAATGGAACAAAACAGAATGACTTTGAGAGTGTATAAATCTGTAGTGGAGGGAAGGCGGGGTAGGGGTTGGCCTAGGATGGGTTGGAGGGAGGGGGTAAATGAGGTTTTGTGTGTGAGGGGCTTGGACTTCCAGCAAGCATGCATGAGCATATCTAATAGGAGTGAATGGAGACAAATGGTTTTTAATACTTGATGTGCTGTTGGAGTGTGAGCAAAGTAACATTTATGAAGGGATTCAGGGAAACCGGCAGGCTGGACTTGAGTCCTGGAGATGGGAAGTACAGTGTCTACACTCTGAAGGAGGGGTGTTAATGTTGCAGTTTTATAACTGTAGTGTAAAGCACTCCTCTGGCAAGACAGTGATGGAGTGAATGATGATGAAAGTTTTTCTTTTTCGGGCCACCCTGCCTTGGTGGGAATCAGCTGATGTGTTAATAAAAAAAAATCAGTTCTAGCTAAAAATTTTTTAGGGAATTTTGACTCCTGAATTATTACTGCCTGATCAAATTTAGCCAAGATATGAGCTGTTGGAGTGTGAGCAAGGTAAAATTTTGTGAAGGGATTCAGGAAAACCAGTTAGCTGGACTTGAGTCCTGGAGGTGGGATATAAATTGCCTGCACTTTAAAGGAGGGTTTTGGGATATTGGCTGTTTGGAGTGACTTCTAAACTGTCGTATCTGAGTGCCTTTGTAAAGACAGTGATTATGTGTGAATGATGGTGAAAGTGTTGAATGATGGTGAAAGTTTATCTTTCTTTTGGGTCATCCTGCCTCTGCGAGACGGCTGATACATTGAAAAAAAAATGTGTGAGGGGCTTGGACATGCAGCACTTGTTTGTGAGCATGTTAGAAAGGAGTGAGTGGAGGCAAATGGTTTTTTGGACTTGATGAGCTGTTGGAGTGTGAGCAAGGTAACATTTTATGAAGGGATTCAAGGAAACCGGTTAGCTGACTTGAATCCTGGAGGTGGGTAGTACAGTGCCTGCACTTTGAAGGAGGGGTGAGAATATTTGCAGTTTGGAGGGGCATCTAAACTGTAGTATCATTGCATCTCTGGCAAGACAGTGATAAAGTGAATGAGGTTGAAAGTGTTTCTTATACCTCGGTGGGAAACTGCTGGCGTGCTAAAAAAAATATAAATGTGAAACTGAAAGTAAATTTCCCTTCCTTGATATCCTGATCAACTAAGTCAGTTATAATATTAACCTCTAAGCTGATGGTGACATTTCAGTTTATCTAAGCTTTTAATAATGACTCATGAATCATAACAACATGATTGCAAACAAACCATGGCTTTGAGGGAATTTGAGCTAGAGTTCCACATAGCCATGCTGGCAGGAGATTCGCCTGTAAAAACTGGCATTTGTGGATACAGTGGAGCCTGTGCTAACCTCCCTATAGTGTATAAATATACCTAGTTGGATGAATCTTATTGTAGCCAGCTGGCCTGGTGGCTTACGCACTGGCCTGGAATTTTACAACGTACTTGCCATGGATTCTAACCTCACCTGTACTGTGTTTTTTTTTCAAGCTGTTACTGGTGGTGACATAACAGTATGCATAATTCAAGGAAGGGTTTGAAGGTTGGTGTGAAAGTTTTGAGTGGTAGGGCTTGAGCATCCAGCAGGCATGTGTGATCATATTTGAAGAACAAGTGGTTTTTTGAGATTTGATATGCTTTTGGAGTGTGAGCAAGGTAACTTTTTTTTTTAAGGCACTCAGGGAAACTGGTTAGCAGGACTTGAGTTCAGGTGTTGGAAAGTATAGTGTCTGCACACTAGGAAGGGGTGGAAATGTTGCAGTTGGGATTGCCATTTGAGCCCTGATGTCATTACATTTCTGGTACAAAAGTTGTTGAATAAATGATGGTGTATGACTTTTCTACCACCTAGTGACCCTACCTAAGTGGAAAATGGCCCATGTGGTAAAAGAAATAATAGTAAATACTATTTCTCTTGACATGTAGGTGGACACATCCATGTAGCCACCTGGAAGCCTGAAATGATAAAGTGCTGGCGTGCAGAACTTAAGATAACACACCAAGATTGTGCTGGGGGAAAGGGTGACCTCAACATTACTATTGAAGCTGCTCAGTCTTTTTGTCCATTCCGATCAAGCACCACCTGGCATAACTCTCAAAGTAAGTTTAGTTATGGGTGTACAGTATATTTGTGGTAACTCTTTAGTATGTTCAATGTAGGTTGGTATAATAATAATACTGTAGGGCTCTGCTTTACGGCAACCTGCTAATACAGACATTTCAGATTACGAGCAAAACTTGCTATACAGCTCCCCCTCACCTGACTTTCTAATACAGTCACCACGCACCACCTGGTTTGTTTACATTCTCTGTGAGTGAGTCTCTCCATTGTGTCTAGAAACTTTCCAAAATTTCAAGTGTTTTAAAGTTACAGTGGACCCCGGTTAACGATATTTTTTCACTCCAGAAGTATGTTCAGGTGCCAGTACTGACCGAATTTGTTCCCATAAGGAATATTGTGAAGTAGATTAGTTCATTTCAGACCCCCAAACATACACGTACAAACGCACTTACATAAATACACTTACATAATTGGTCGCATTCGGAGGTGATTGTTATGCGGGGGTCCACTGTATTGTGTATTTTATATGTACTCTGATAAGTATGCCTATGTATACCTGTACCTAAATAAACTTACCCACTATGCTTGCGTGCAGGTACACATTAAAATCACTAAGAGTGTCCCTCTAGTCTTGACACCATAGTAATAATAATAATATTAACCCCTTGACTGTCGAAACCGCAAATCCTGAGGTGTCTCCTGGTGTCAAAAAATTTTTGAAGAAAAAAAATTTCTTGTGAAAGGATAGAGAATCTGCTCCTGATGGTAACAACACCAAAAGAACGAAATTTGATGGAAAACTTACGGAATTACGCTCTCGCGAAGTTAGCGACCTCGGCGATATTTACGAATCGGCCATTTCACCCACTTTGAGCCCTATTTTTGACCAAATTCATAGCTATTTCTTTAGAACTCCATTTGTTCTATCGATTGAGTACAAGAAACTACCCATTTACCGATTTCAACTTTCCAATAACGTGGTCAGAAATTTGCAATTTGTCCAATTTCACGCAAATTAAAAAATATGCCAATTTCAAAATCGGGTCCAGAATGAACAATGCAGACATTCCTAGCTCTAAAATAACATTTTCTTTGTTCATCAGTCACGTCTCCAGGCCCCTCTGATATTAATTACTCTTGCTTTCTATTTTGAATTTTTATTCAAACAAAAAATAGAAGATTTACTGTTATGCTGACTACTGCAATATTGTAATAATTGTATAAATAATGTCAACCCATTCATGACTGCATATTAGAATGGATACTTGGATATTTATTGGACAATGACATCATTTGTTTTCTTTTGAACATCGGCAAAAATCAAACATTTTCCCTACTTTGAGCTCCATTTTAAGGTTCTTTTCTTAGTAAAACCAATGAAAATCACCTCAGTTTCTATAAGATGTTTTCCATTCTATCAAATGAGACCAAGAAAACGAAAATACAGCCATAAATACTATACAAAAATACACCACAAAGTCGGCGTTTTAATCCAAAAAAGAAAAACGGTCGGAGTTTTTTTTCTCATTATGCCCTGCATGCTGCAGGATTTTTTTATATGGTGCACACTGACCACACAGACCCATTCTCTCACATGTGGGCCTACCAGCTTTCTCCTGCTTTATTTGAAGCTGCTAGAATTTTTGAGTATATATATGTCAAACATTGTGGCTCGTAAGACGTATACAGTGGACCCCCGGTTAACGATTTTAATCCGTGCAAGAGGGCTCATCGTTATGCGAAATAATCGTTATGCGAATGAATTTTCCCCATAAGAAATAATGGAAATAAAATTAATCCGTGCAAGACGCCCAAAAGTATGAAAAAAATTTTTTTTTACCACATGAAATGTTAATTTTAATACACACAAACTGAGAAAGGCATGCACAATTACATGACACTTACTTTTATTGAAGATCTGGTGATGATTGATGGGATGGGAGGAGGGGAGAGCATTATCTTCTTACTGTTTAGAAGGGGAATCCCCTTCCATTAGGACTTGAGGTAGCAAGTCCTTTTCTGGGGTTACTTCCCTTCTTCTTTTAATGCCACTAGGACCAGCTTGAGAGTCACTGGACCTCTGTCGCACAACAAATCTGTCCATAGAGCTCTGTACCTCCCGTTCCTTCAAGACTTTCCTAAAATGGGCCATAACATTGTCATTGAAATAGTCACAAGCACGGCTTGCAACAGCTGTGTCAGGGTGATTTTCATCTATAAAGGTTTGCAGTTCAACCCACTCTGCACACATTTCCTTAATCTTTGAAGTAGGCACAATGGATTCCACAACTGGCATAGGCTTCTCAGGGTTAGCCCCAAACCCTTCAAAATCTTTCTTAATTTCCATACTAATTCTCACCCTTTTTACCACAGGGTTGGCACTAGAAGCTTTCTTGGGGCCCATGGTCACTTATTTTCCAGAAACAGCACCGAAAATACTGTAATAATACGAAATATTCCGAGTGTATGCTTGGATGTTACCGCGGAGGCTGGCTGGTAAACAATGGGACGGAGCGGCACATGTGAGGCTGGCTGAGGGCACATTGGACGCGTCTCGGACGAAAATCGGTATGCGGGTTTTTAATCGGTATGCGCGGCAAAAATTTTGCGATAAAAGTAATCGTTATGCGGAAAAATCGCTATGCGATGCCATCGTTATGCGGGGGTCCACTGTATATACGACCGAAACAGTCAAAGGGTTAATACATAATAATAATCACTTGGGCACATTAAATGTCTTATTTTACGTTAATATAGACAGTTTCATTAATCCATCTATGATATTGCCTTCAGAATTATATAGGAAACACATTACATAACATATAAACATTATACTACATACACCCACAGTACAATAAATTTCACATAAATATGAGGTGTGGTAGCGAAGTGGAGGAAAAAATTCCGTTTTCTTTTGTCCAGCACCAGAGAAAATGTGTATCAATGGGTGGTTGACCCAGTCACTCCCCTTAATACATTCAGCTTTGTTTACCAGCTTTCTCTCGCTAAATTTGAAGGGGCTAGAATTTATGAGTACGTACTAGTATGGCACCAACCTTGGCGTGCAAGCCGTACTAGTATGACACCGACCCTGAAAGGGTTAAGACTACAAATATTTGAAGGTGAGTAATGGAAGTTCAGTGGTACCTTGACTTATGAGTTTAATTCGTTCCGTGACCCAGCTCTTTACTCAGTTTGCTCGTACAGTGGACCCTTGTTTTTCGTAAGGCCCAAAAATCGTAATTTTCGGAAATTGTAACGTTTTTTCATCAAAACATTGACTCGTGAATCGTCGTTTGACTCACAGATAGTCGTTCATCTGGGAAGCATACACAGCTTCAAGCCGCCTCACACTCCATTCCCAGCCAGTGTGCCATTGTTTATCAGTGAGTGAGGATGATCCCACGAGTTCATACGATACATTTCATAATATTCCATTCGTTTTAGTGCTTGCAACTGCTAAATAAGCCACCATGGCTCCAAAGAAAGCTTCTAGTGCCAGCCCTTTGGTTGAGAATGTGAGAAACACATATAATTTAAGAAAAAGTTTGTAGAAAAATACGAAAGTGGTGGTGGTAGAGTGGCTGCAGTTGTGATGGTGGTAGAGGGTTGTAGTGTTGGTGGTAGCAGTTGTGATAGTGGTAGAGGGTGGTAGTGATGCTGGTAGAAGGTGGTAGTGATGGTGGTAGCAGTTGTGATAGTGGTAGAGGGTGGTAGTGATGGTGGTAGAGGGTGGTAGTGATGGTAGTAGAGGGTGCCTCCTTCAGTGATTCTACTAACTCTTCCAATGTTGTAGGAGTTATATAGGGCTACAGAAAACACCGGCGCCTCCGCTGGTGCTTCACCACCATTATGGACGGCTTATGCTCTCTTGTTTCATACATAATGACTTATTTTATTCATTCTAGAGTATATTCCATGTTTCTATGTTATTAATATTGTTTATTATGTCATATTAGTTGAATTGTGATAAATAAGCCGTAGAGTTGATATTAGTGTCATATTCTCCAAGAATAAACTCGCCTCCCCTCCCTCGGCCCCGTCTGCCATACACCAAGAGTCTTCAATAAAGGTAAATGTGATGTTAAATGTTCATTTATACATTTTATTAGTGCTTTACATTTATTTGACATTCTTTTCTGCATGTAAATCTATATTTAAACTAGGGAAGTGACCCCTGAAGTGACCTAGAGTCCTTATGGAGGGGGATTCCCCTTCCAAACAATAACCTCTCTTCCCTCTCCCCTCCCTGTTTTCCATCCATCAACAACACCCTTCAATAAAGGTAACTGTCATGTTGAATGTTCATTCTTTTGTGCATGTAAATCTATCTTTAAGGTAAAAAAAAAAATGTTTTGTTGATACTTCTGGGTGTCTGGAACGAATTACACGTGTAATTGGATTTACATTATTTCTTATAGGGAAAATGGATTCGCAATTCATCAATTTCGATAATAGTCATACTCTCTGGAACGGATTAATTATGAAAAATGAGGGCCCACCGTATATCAAATCAATTTTCCTCATTGAAATTAATTGAAATGCCATTAATCCATTCCAGCAGAATTCCTGGCTCTCGGGAGGCAGGAGAAAATACTTCAATTATTGTTATTATTGTTATTGTTTTTACTATTATATTATTATTATTACAGTGGGCCCTCCGTTTTCATTGATCCTTGTTATTGCCTATTTCGGTTTTGGTCAACTTTTTTTGTTGATTTTTTTGTTCCGTTTTTGTCGATCGTACAGAACTTGTCCAGTGCCCAGTGCACAGACAAAGCACCCTCCCACACACATTCTCAGCTAGTGTAGTGTTGTTTCTTGGTGAGTGAACATATCCTGCCAGGTCATACGAAACATTTCGTAGTAATCCATTGTTTTTGCCACTTGTTTATTCTGTGTGACTGCTAAATAAGTGACCATGGCCCCAAAGAAAGTTCCTACTGCCAGTGCTTTTGTAAAGAAAATGAGGAACACTGTAGAACTGAAAAAGAAATCCTAAGAAAATATGATAGTGGCATATGCATTGCTGAACTCGGCAGGATGTACGGGAAGTCATCATCAACAATCAGCTACATTGTGGCAGACAGAAAAGAAATAATGGAAGCTGATGTTGCGAAAGGGGTGAATGCGATAACCAAACAGGGATCCCAAACAATTGAAGAATTGGAGAAATTGTTGTTGGTGTGGATCAGAGAGAAAGAGTTAGCAGGAGATAGTGTTGTGCAGTCTATAATTTGTGAAAAGGCAAGGCAGTTGCATGACGATCTCATGAAGAAACTGCCTGAAACAAGTGCTGATGTAGGCGAATTTAAGGCCAGCAAAGGCTGGTTTGAAAAATTAAAGAAGCGAAGTGGCATACACAGTGTTGTAAGACACAGTGAGGGTACCAGTTCAGACAAACAAGGGCTGAAAAATTTGTACAGGAATTCAAATGTTATATAGAGGCTGAAAAATTCCAACCCCAACAAGTGTTTGTGATAAAACAGGCTTGTTTTGGAAGAAAATGCCAAAGAGGACCTACATTATGCAGGAGGAAAAGGCACTCCCATAACACAAGCCTATGAAAGACAGGCTAACTCCCTTGTTATGTGGTAATGCTAGTGGGGATTTCAAAGTGAAGTCTTTACTGGTGTATCACTCTGAAAATCCCAGTTAGGGGGTTAAAGGTATATCAAAGTTGGCTTTACAGTCAGTACCATATTCAACACCTGTCACTGCCACAGCCACCACCACATTCAGCAGTGCAACCACCACCACATTCAGCACCGCAGCCACCACCACATTCAGTACCACGGTCAGGGCCCCATCCACATGTCTACCATCTCACAAAGAAATTTAGAAATGGAAAATTGTACCAAGAAATCATCTTGTTAACTTGTCAAGTCAAAGAAGATCAGTCTTATCATTTTCAACATTCTTCAAATTCATCTTCCATATTATTTGTATTATGTTATGTATGTACTGTTTTTGAGAGAGGGGCCAGATTGGAAAAAGATCAGTTAGGCAGACCAAATTTAGTGATAGTCCCAGTTTCTAGATTTGCTGGGAACTCTTGAGCTTATCCCTTGAATTTTGAAGGAGCACTGTACATTCAGGATTTATTTTGTACTTCATCCCTTCAAGGTAGGTGCTGTAGCTTCATGCTGGCAAAAAGCTCTTGATCTAATGAATTGAAGTGACCATTCCCTTCCTCAGAGCAGATCTGATCACCTCCCATTCCCTAGTCACTATAAGACCCTATGGGTTTGGTACTTCTCAGTGAATAGAATAATAATAGTTTTATAGTTCATTGACAATTTTTGTTTTTCAGAAAGTGAAGGTCTAGTACAAGTGACATGTCTGCACTACACAGAGGTAGAAGATCCTAACAGTTTGTTGGTAGCACTCACTGTAGAGCGACCAGCTGAAGCATCTCCTACGCAACAAGTGAGAATGCCTTAATAGTAATTCTAGTCACTACCGAACCTTGTTATACAATACTGCTGCCTTTAAAACAATCTCCAGCCCTTGTTGTACTATACTACTGTTCTTAACCCTTTGACTGTCGCAAGCCCCCTTTCTGAAGTTGTCATTCTATGTCGCAAAAGTTTGGGAAAAAAAAAATTATTTTTTCTTATGAAATGATAGAGAATCTTTTCCTGATGGTAATGACACCAAAAGTATGAAATTTGGTCAAAAACTCATGGAATTACGCTCCCGCAAAGTTAGTGGTCTCGGCGACATATACGCATCGGCAAGTTCGCCGACTTTGAGCCCTGTTTTTGGCCAATTCCGTTGTTCCAGTTGACCAAACTCATAGCTAATTCTTTAGAACTCCATTTTTTCTATCAGTTGAGTACAAAAAACTGCCCACTTACCGATGTGAACTACCCAATAAGTAGTCAGAAATTGACAATTTGGCCAATTTCATGCAAATTAAAAAAGATGCCAATTTCAAAATAGGGTCCAGAATAAACAAGGTAGACATTCTTGGCACTAAAATAACATATCTTCTGTTCATTAGTCATATCTCTAGGCCCCTCTTATATTACTATTGCTTTCTATTTTTATTTTTTATTCATACAAAAAAATACAAAATTTACTGTTATGCAGACTACTGCATTATTGTAAAAATGGTATAAACAATATCAGTGCACTAGTGAAAGAATATTAGACTCCCCAGTTGACATGTATTGGATGTGTGGTGTAATTTACTTACTCCTGAACATTGGTAAAAATCGAACATTTCTGCTACTTTGGGCTCAATTTCAAGGTCGTTTTCATCATGAAAGTAATGAAAATCATCTCTATTTCTGTAATATGTTTTCCATTTTATCACCTGAGACCATGAAAACGAGAATGCAACAATAAATACTACATGAAAATACACCTCAAAGTTGGCGTTTTAATCCAAAAAAACGGTCAGTTTTTTTTTCTCATTATGCACTGCATGCTGCAGGATTTTTTTTATGTCGTGCACACTGACCACACAGACCCATTCTCTCACATGTGGGCCTACCAGCTTTCTCCTGCTTTATTTGAAGCCGCTAGAATTTACGCTTTTAAATACGTCAGAAACAGTGGCGCGTAAGATGTATATATACGACGTAAACAGTCAAAGGGTTAAAACAGTCACCATCATTTATTTGTTAAACTGCTGCCTTAAGCCTTTCACTGTTGAGACCCTTGCTCAAAAACTTGCTCTCAGTGTCGAAAATTTAAAAAAAAAAAAAAAAATTACTTTTTCTTATGAAATGAAAGAGAATCTTTTCCCAATGGTAATGACACCAAAAGTACGAAATTTGATGGAAAACCTACATAATTATGCTCTCTTGTTAAGTTATCTCTCTCAGCGATATTTATGCATTGGCAATTTCACCCACCTTCAGCCCTCTTTTCAGCCAATTCCATTGTTCCAGTTGACCAAACTCATAGCTATTTCTCTAGAACTCCATTTGTTCTATTGAGTGAGTATAAGAAACCACCCATTTACCAATTTCAACTACCCAATAAAGTGATCAGAAATTGGCAATTTGGCCAATTTCAAACAAATTTCAAAAGATGCCAATTTCACAATAGGGTTCAGAATAAATAATGCAGACATTCCTGGCATTAAAATAACATTTTCTCTGTTCATTAGTCACATCTCCAAGTCCATCTTATATTACTCTTGCTTTCCATTTTGAATTTTTATTCACACAAAAAATAGAAGATTTACTGTTATGCAGACTACTGCATTATTGCAATAAGTGTATAAATACTGTCAACCCATTCGTGACTGTGCATTAGAATGGCTAGTTGGACATTTATTGGACAACGATGTCATTTGTTTACTCTTGAACATCAGCAAAAATCAAACATTTCTGCTACTTTGATCTCCATTTCAAGGTCCTTTTCATAGAGAAACCAATCAAAATCATCTCTATTTCTATAATATGTCTTCCATTATGTACTACGTGCTGCAGGATTTTTTTTTACTGCGCACACTGACCACACAGACCCATTCTCTCACATGTAGTGGTACCAGCTTTCTCCCACTAAATTTGAAGCTGCTAGAATTTTGGCGTATTAATGTGGCACCAACACTGGCTTGTAAGCTGTACTAATATGATGCCAGCAGTGAAAGGGTTAAAACACTCTCCAACCTTGTTTTACTGAACTGATGCCTTTAACCCTTTCAGGGTTGGTGCCATACTAGTATGGCTTACGTGGCAGGGTTGGTGCCATACTAGTACGCATAAATTCTAGCGTCCTCAAATCAAGCAGGAAAAGGCTGGTAGTCCTGGATGTGAGAGAATGGGTTTCCATGGTCAGTGTGTGCAGTATAAAAAAAATCGGGGACCCAGTGGTGCATTGTGGGAAAGCCATTTTATTACACCTTGTTCACCATGTCTAGCGGTAAGAAACTCCTCACTCCTCGGCTAATTGGGGCTCTATTGTTCCCAGGTGACAGTTCAAACACAGATGGAAGTGTTAGTGAAGATGAATTTCATGGTTTTGAGGAGTTTGTGGCCAAAAACAATGCCCAGGAAACCAACCTGAAGGAAGGAAGGAAGGTAGAAGAAAGGGAGGAAAGAAGGAAGAGATAAGAGGAAGGAAGGAAGAAAGGAAAAGATGAGAGGAAGGTGGGAAGGAAAGAGGGAAGGAAGGAAGTAGAGAAGGAAGGAAGGAAGGAGGGAAGAAAGGAATGAGACCATCAACCTAGGATAACTCAAAAAATTCAGACAGTGACCTATTTCCATGTGGGTTGGTGGGGTGGGGAGGAAGGGATGGGTGTTGACAGGCAAGGAGGGTGGTGAGTGGTGGTGTTATTTGTCATTGTGACACCAATTAGGCCAGTGACTCAGCATATTTACAAGTCCACCCCCACACTACTACAAGCTTTCAGAACCTCTTGTAGTTATAGGAACCTGTCCAGTGACTCTGTATGAGTATATATATGATAGAAAAATAGTAATAAACAACATTTTTTATTGTTGGTTTGTGTAAACGTGTTTTGTAAACAATATAATGACAGCAAAGTTTGTGCTGTTATTGTGTCATATACAATGAGTGAATATATACCAAATAGTTTTTATATTGGTCTCAGAGGCCATAAAAGTTACTTGAAAAAATAAAATATTAAAAAATAAAAGAAAAAAGCAGAAAAAACATAATAAACTCTTACTGAGTGACCGGCAGTCGGCGATGTTGCCGTATGCAGTTCATTTTCTGTCAACTTCACGCCTCCATATCTCGATAAGTATTGATGTCAAAAAAAAATTTTTTAGCCTATAAATTTTAGAAAAAAAACTGTCTTTTCATAAGAAAAAATAATTTTTTTTTTTTTTTTGAATTTTTACTGACCCTGAGAACAGGTTTTGGAGAGGGCCTGCCGACCCTGAAAGGGTTAAAACACTCTCCAACCTTGTTTTACTAAAATGCTGCCTTTAAAATACTCTCCAACCTTGTTTTACTGAACTGCTGTCTTTAAAACAATATTCAAACCTTGCTATATTTAATCTCTAATTTCTTATACAGTAGAACCCCAGTTTTCATAATCCATTCCAGAAGGTTGGCCTAAATCTGAGATGGCCGAAAACTAAAGTAATATTTCCCATAATAAATGATGTAAATCCGATTAATCCGTTCCAGATGCTCAGAAATATTAACAAAAAATAAATTTTTACATACAGAAAACAATGAGAAATAAATATTAAGCACTAATTTTAATGATAAATAAACATTACATATCTTTATTGAAGACTCTTGTTGGCATATGAAAGAAGGCAAGGAGGGGAGAGGGAAGAGAGTTTATTGTTTGGAAGGGGAATCCCCCTCCATAAGGACTTCAGGTATCAAAGCCCTCTCTGGGGTTACTTCCCTTCTTTGTCTTTTACTGCCAATAGGACCAGCTTGAGAGTCACTGTACCCCTGTTGCACAAAAAATCTGTCCAGAGAGGCCTGTTTTTGGCATCTCTGTAAGATTTGCCAAAAATGGGACCAGATGTTGTCATTGAACATGTTGCACACATGGCTTGCAACAGTTCTGTTAAGGTGATAATTCTCCACAAAACTTTGCACCTCACTCCACTTTGCACAAATGTCCTTAATTGCTGAAGAAGGCACATTCTCCCCCCTCTCTTCCTTCTCTGAAGCAACATCCTCAGCTGCAGTCTGTTGCTGTTCCAGTTGAAGGTCTTGCAGCTCTTCAGTGGTTAGCTCTTCCCTGTGGTCCTCCACCAACTCTTCCACATCCTCACCACTCACATCCAACCCCGTGGACTTCCCCAAAGCCACAATAGATTCTACAATAGGCATAGGGTTGTCAGGGTTAGCCTCAAACCCTTCAAAATCCTTCTCGAGGACACATTCTGGCCACAATTTTCTCCAAGCAGAGTTCAAAGTCTTTGAAGTCACTCCCTGCCAAGCTTATGAGCAGTTGAGGATATTGAAGTGATTTCTCCAGAGCTCTCTTAGGGTCAATTCAGTGTCTGAGGTCACTTCAAAACACCTTTGAAACATTGCTTAGGTGTACAGTTTTTTGAAGCTTGAAATGACCTGCTGGCCCATGGGCTGGATGAGAGGAATGGTATTAGGGGAAAAGAACTTCACTGTGATGAAATTACACTCCTCAAACAATAGGTCTTCCAAGTCTGGAGGATGAGCAAGAGACACTTAAGTGGCAAATTATTTTCCAGCAGGTATTTCTTCACACTCGGGCCAGACACTTCATTGACCCACTCAATGAAAATTAGCCTCGTGACCCATGCCTTATTGTTAGCCTTCCACATCAAACACAGTTTACTCTTTATAACATTGCTCTTCTTCAATACTTGGGGATTTTCAGTGATACACAAAAAAAAAGGCTTCTCTTCGAAATCCCCACTAGCATTACCACAGAACAAAAGAGTTAGCCTGTCCTTCATTGGCTTGTGTCCTGGCAGTGCCTTTTCCTCCTGCGTGAT